CATTTCTGACTTGGCTTCTAACTCTGGTTTGAACATTGGCTGAGTCGATGACCATGAGCTAGGTGTACATTTCAACAAATTACTCCTTGTCTGAAAATACAACTTTTCAATTGTACGTATAGTACAAATATTTTCACTGCAATGATTAAACAAAACGGTTATTTCATTTTAACACATCAATCATTTTATTTATTTTGTAGAGAAAGCAATATTGTCAATTGCAAATACAAATAGTGGTAAAAATGAAATCAAAATTTCTTAATGTCCCTTAATAACTATACAATTCAATTTCTCAAGCTCCTTGGAAAGTAAGAATATTCCATCATTTTGATCGCAATGGGAATATCACATATTTAACGTTTTTACAGATTATGAATACCCTCAAATTGATAGGGTCCATGCAAGAGTGTATCAATAAGAATCGTCAATAGTTTCACCATGAATCATAGTAACAGAAGTACGAATGCCTTTTTCCCTCATACTTTTCACAAAGGTTAATTAAGAAAGTATTCAATCGCCTCCTTTTTTTCACATCTAGTTGCATCGTTGCATTTCAGAATTCTGCAAACTGGCCCTGGGAAAAAAAAGAAGACAGGTCTAAAAATAATAGCATTTAAGATTTACTCACTTAGATTTATCAAATAAAAAAAAAGACATGCAACACAAACAAAATTTTGAAAATTAGCGTTTTCATTGACTGGTTTTTGTGCAAATTTACTTTAGGTCTGAACTATTGATATAAGTGACATGTCTCCTAACAACTTTGGGATTATGCACAATCATCACAGCACAATTATGACAAATTATTACATTTATTATGCATTAGAAATGCGAAGTGAATGTGAATAAGATCTAATTTTAATTACGATAAAGTATTTTTACTGGGCTTCAGCGTTCGATTTACCCAGTATCGCATCGCAAAATGTGATATGTTTTATGCTAATTGCGAAGAACTTCCACAATTGCATCACAGATAAATGCAACGCATATTATTTGCCTAGAATTAACCACTCAGTCTTCAGCAAGTCCTGGCTGTAAAAACTAAGAGGCTTAGTGCACAAAAAATTTCAAAGAGGTTAAATTACAGCATTACAACTAATGTAAAACAAGAAACTTTTGTGACATGAAACTTTCGCAAATTGATAAGGGTGCATATGAAAAAAATTGTTAGATTATCACTCCTGCACACATTAACTATTTGGAAATATTGATGCGGTTATAAAAAAAAAAACCAACCCTCATCACATTTTTTTTTTAAAGGAGTATTATTCTAATAATTCTTTCTATGTGCCTTAAATTTATTCATGAGACGAACACCATACATAATAGATCATCTATGATGACAATATTGTATCATGAGTTCTAGGCTAGAAAAGCCCAGGCATAAACCTGCCTATCTGCTAGGGTTTAGCTGGCAATTACATAATAATTACAATCCTCATTAACATACGATATTAATAAATTCTGTATGGTACAGTATTTGTGAAATTTTTTTGCACATGAAAGTTTAGCTGGTTTTACAGTATTAAACACTTTGATTGTCATAAATATGATTTTATTAAGGATGTGTTGAGTACTATTAATAAGGGTATCATCCTATAATTCAATATATATTTATAGAAGCTAAACAGATTGGGTTTTACGAACAATAAAGTAACAATGTAGTGCTTAGATCCACACAGTAATCCTAAACATTGTTATGTTACATGGATATTATTTCATCAGTAGCTAAGGCGAGACTTCCTTTATACCTTGTTTCGCATACTTATTCTTCTAAAGATCATCGGAGGAGGGCAGAATAAAAATAAAGATAAAATTTAGTTTTTTTATTCAGCAAACAGTCTGCCTAAAACATCCAGACGGAGGAGAAAATAAATATACAATTTTATTGGTGAATGTAAAGTAGAATGGTTAAATATTTAAAATTTATATAATTACAGTATGTATATCTTATATCTTTGGGAGATTTCAAGGCAGTGGAGGGAATAATTAAAATTTAAAAAAAAAATATTTTTTTACTGCAATTTCCTTCTTTTTTTTTGTGGTGGTGGGTGCGCTAATTGCTCAAAAATAAAATTTTATTTTTATTTTAAAAATACCAATATTTGCAGTAGGCGGGTTCGATAAACATAAAAAAGTCTCGCCCGAACATTTGGTTTTTAGAATCTATTAACTTACCGATTTTGACAATCTTGAGCTTTTGAAACTTCTTAGTACTTTTTGATCCAGTTCAGATGAAGTCAGGAAACAAAGTTTTTCAGGATAAATTTAAATGTTGTTAAACAAGTTTCAAGGCTTGAAAATACTGTAAAATATAATATAAATATGTTAAGTGAATTATCATGTAAATAAAACAAACGATTATATAATAGCACCAAATTCCATCACATGAAGAAGTTGATGTATTTTGAAATTTTTGTTCTGTGAAAAGTTTAAATGAGGTGTTTTGTGCAAGTTTAAATAATGTAGTCTGTTAAGGTGACTCTCAGACTGCACATCACAAATTCAGCACACTACTGTACAGGTACACATACAGTTATTCAAGCTGTGTTAATTACTTAGTTAAATATATTAATGAAAGTAGGTTTATCCAATCCAATTAAAATTAAAAACAAAAAAATAACAAACATTATGCTTTAACTATTAAAAGTCATTAGCATAAGACAACAATGTAGTATTTTCTTTACTATTATATCTCACTGAATTATGAAATCTAATTTTACGCGTACATCATCTAATCCTTTAATACCATTGACCAACTTGTGACAAGTGATGAAATGGAATCCCAATCACATTATATGTCTGTATATTACTATTCGCTTTAATAAAGTATTCACTTATTATTATTGTTTTCACAACAAAACTCACGAATTGTTTGCACAAGACCATCTTCAAGAACCGATCAAAATTATTATAATGCCTCCATAGAAAGTACTGGTATGTTGGCAGGTAGCACATACTGCAGCTCAGGACTGGTGATCTGATAATGGATATTGAATTTTAAGTTTACGTGTCCATCTTCGCCAATACTTACAGTAGCTCCATTAACAACGGCCTATGGATGCCATTTTTTTTTGGGGGTTTTTTTTTACTCCTGACAAAAACACAACATAAAGAAGAAATAAAGAAAATGTTTAACTTTACAATTAAGATCGACAATATACAGTAGGCTGCACAAAGATGTAGGCCTATACTGATATTAAATAAGGAAGTGGATATATTTACGTCCTCGTGATCAAATCAGTAAACGATATATTTACGTAAATGAAACGACGCATGCGCAGTCATACTTTAACGACTAGCATTTTCAGCACTCGATATTAGTGTGGTCTCCCAAGCCGCGGTGATTCCCCCAAGTTCAGCATGGCACTAATTAATTTATAATTTTGTTTTTTATATTTTTATTAAACGTAATTTAATTTTCTACAATAGCACAGTATGTAGTTTAATCACTAAATAAATTATTAAATCAAGTGTTAAATTTTCAAATAAGTGATACTGTATTATGTAAATATATCGTTTACAACGGCGTAAATATATCCACTTCCATTAAATAAAGTGTAGTATTTTATGCTAAACAGAATTCAATATTTTGACAATGACATTATGTTCTGTTCTGGTGTATATGTTGACTCATATATGGACAGCCTAGGCCCCCTAGGCTTGGGGGTGGGAAGGGCTTGCCAGCCAGGTCCCCTATACTAAACTTCCATCACAGAGTCTAGGCTAGGCCTAGCCATACACAATGACATTAGTTAGGTAGACAGGGCCTAGCCTATACACCGGCGAAAAATATAATAAGACAAAAAACGTAGGATGTGCCTTGGCTTATGCCCTTAGCCAGAGAGTTAACTGGCGATCCAACGCTAGTTCAAGAAACTAGGCCAGCATACGCTTAAACAAGAAGGCCTAGGCCTACGTATCTACTATCTAGGCCTAGGCCCAGGGAATGCAATGGTTTTGGCCGCGAATTAGGCCTAGCACAGTACAGTAGTATAGTTTATAGGGAATTCAACAACTTAGGCCTAGGCTAGGCTAGGCTACACAAGTATAAATTACTTACTTTGTACTTCACTGTGACTTGTCAAATTTGCTTAGGCCTATAAAATCTTCCTTCCTTTACACTCGCTACAAGACGACGGCACTAGAATGGGGCTTCGTTTGTGAATTCAAAACTTGAAACGGGACACCGGAACTGCCAAAGACAGATAGTTCATTGGCTTAAGTCCAATGCTCCGATCTATGGAACGCGGTTACTGCCTTTGGTGGCTCTTTTCCGTTCGGGGCATTTGTTATTCGGCCCTT